CCTCGTGTAAGGCTTCGCGACCCCCAGGTTGAAAAACACTGCTCTACACAAATTATTATTATTATTTTTAATATACATATCGTATAAATAATTTTATATAATGATTTAAATATTTCTTATCTATTAATCAAAATTTCATACTTCCTTATACACTTTTCATACGAAAATATTCCTCTACTTTTTCTATTAAAAAGGGTTCAAGTAATTTTATTAAAAATATATACATAAATTACGTTAACTGTATAAAAATTTAATGAAATTTTTCACGTTACGTTGCATATTTTATTATTTTAAAAAAATGAATACATTTAAATCAAAATATTTATTGATTTTTCAATACAAAATTTATTAATTTATGAGAGATTCAAATCACGTTTTGTAACCAGTTTATTGTTTCATAGGAAGAACATGATTTACTATCTTAATTTCAGACAAGGTTATATATATACATATATAAAAGAAAAAATATCTCTTGAAAAAGAATTAGAATTCTACTCCCATTTTAGTTACAGTTTTTGATTTAAAGAGTTAATAATTCGTTAGGAATAAGTAAAACTCTAAATTCTGTTTTATTATGATGTTCGTAAACCTGTTTTACTTGTAAATCCATGATTCTTTCAAAGATTAGTAGCTTAGATACGTAAAAAAAAAAATGGAAACTCTCAGGTATTAGCCCTTTTAACTAATATTATGCCAAATCCTAAAGAATACTAATGCTTTATCTTTATTAGAATTCTTGTTTAGAGAGGTTTCGGTAAGTTAAACCTTTTTATATTCTTAAAAAGTATTATTTTAATTCGTTTTTTTTAAAGATTTTTTCATTTATTTTTCCTCTTCTGTTCAAGCTCGTTTATGATTCAGGAACGGATCCAATGCGTATAGATACTGTAAGGTGCAGTAAAGAGATTACTTCAATGGATAAGTCATAAATTTAGACTCAAGTTCGAAAAGTGGAAGAGGTTAGAAAGATAAGCTTCGAGGGTTGTTTCCTTTAAAAATAATAATGGGATGCTTTTTATGAGGTTCAATTGGGATTTATTGTAAAAAAGATCTTAACATTAGAGAAATTTTATAAGCTAAAGGTTAAAAATTTAGCTATGTTTATGTCTGATTCGTACTTTAAGTTAATTAACTTATCAATTTTTTAACTGGTAGTTATTGATGATATCATTTTGAAGGCTTTATTATCTCCTAAATTACTTTAAGAAATTTTTAAATATTACAAAAATTCCTTTTAGAAAGGAATCATTTTAAAGTGGGTATTACCAGACTTTTGCCCTCCTTTCGACGTACTTTCAGAATAAATTAATTGCCGATTAACGTTTTTCGTTCGTTAACACGTTATAATGTAACTAAAAAAATGCAAAATGATAAAATTATAACTCTATTTTATTAATTATATCACTTAAAAGTTAATGAATAATATAGAATGATGTATTTTATGGAAGAAACATTTTCAGTCTTGAAAGATGGCGCTACAATTCTTAAATTATAATTTTATTATATACATAATATTCATTTTTTTAAATAAATATTTATATATAAAACTCGCTTAGTTTTATTATAGTTTTATAAATAGATAAATCTTTGTAAAGTATGCAGATTTACTCGAAAATGGTTTAACCTTTCAATTATCTTTCTCTTAGTTGACGTCACAATTATGGACCCTGTAACCTTTCCTCTAACGAACTGGTTTTTTTCTCTAGAATCACTCAACAGTCGACGTTTTATAGTTTCATCTTTTATTGTCTTAATATTTTTAACGTTTTACTACAATTTTTTTATTTATTTTCTTCTTAAATTATAATTTTGTTCATTTAAATTTGCTTTACTTATTCATTGCATGGTCCAAAAATTTTCTCGTAAATTACACTTTTACCCCCTTAAAACATGAAATATCTCTTTAAAAATTATTTATTTATTAGCATATAATGTGTCCCAAAATTTTATATACACATTTTATCACTCTACAATTCTGCAAAATCTGGTTAAAATAGCACATAAATCTAATATTTATTTTAACTTTTATCTAAATTATTAAATTAAATTTAAGAAATTAGTAAGTAAAATGTGTGTACATGTTTTTGGGACTTTAAATTTTATGGTAATAAATTTTTTATTATTAAAAATAAGCTATTTTAAATCATTTTTATGTAAAAAGTATTTACTTGTGATTATATACATCATGAAAAATTTCCATTCTTTAATTTATTGGAGATGTTTACTGTAAATTTTATAATTTACTTCATACTCTACACCAGTGTTTTTCAACCTTCTTGAATACGCGACCCCTTTACAAGTTAAAAAATTCTGGCGACCCCCTAGGGCCATATTTAAACTATATCAGTAATTTTAAAAACTATGTATTTAATTTTCTTTCTGTTGAGACAAATTATTGTCGATTAAAATGAAAATTTCAGAAGAATCGACAATAATTTAACACACATAAAGTATGAAACTTCCTTTAATTATAACATTAGGCACAGGGAACTGTTGACCTTTTTTTTAGGATCTGAATTTTCAGCTTCTACTTTTCTACTTTTTATTTCCTTTTGCAAACCAGCTCAACACTTTTTCCGCTATCATTTTCTGGGGTGGGCCGTAATTCTCGCTGAAATTGTAGTTTTTTAATGTAATATAGCACCTACAAACACTTGTCTTTTTCTTTTACCTGCGACCACAGGTTGAAAAACACTGGCCTAAAGCAACAAAATTTCCTACATCAGTTATTATTTGGGGGTCGCATGCCAGTTAAAGGATCAGGCAAGCTGACCATTATTACATCAACAGTTAATGCCCAAGTATATGTTGACATTTTAAAGAACTTTATTATTTCATTCACTGAAAATATGTTTGGTGG